CCCAGGAGAAATATACATACATACCAGACAGGAACAAGGGCATGAGGCAATGAATTACACCTATCTTAAAAAGTCATTGATATACCAAGACCTTGAAATGCATCCTTTGCCATACAGGAGATATATCAGGAGGCTGGTATAACCAGCTCCTTAGCTTTGCTTCTAAAGTGTAAGTGAGTAGCTGTGTTACATATTTACAGCTTCTGGGTCATTTTCAAGGGAAACTTATTAGAAACACATTACAGTAGTCAGGCCTCAACGGGACAAAGGCAAGAACAGCCATAGTAAAGTCTATGTCTGTGAACTATAGGCAGGCTTCAAAAGAAATCACAGATGGTAAAATTACTTTTAACCATTGTTTCATCACAGACTTCTAAACTAAGAGGGGACCTTCAACTTCTACATCTGTGTTGCCAGGAAGAAAAGGATATAAACCCTGAATAATGGAGAAATATGTACTACAGATTTCTTCATTTGATTTTTGTCCCATTCAGTGCAGGTGTTTTTTCCTGCTCCCCTTTCTCTCCCAATATATCTGACATCAAGTTTCAGAGGAAAAAATAGTATTTAGTGCTTCTATTTAATCTTTGGTTGCACATAGTGTACCTTCATTTTCCTGAATTTATTTAGTAGCCAACATGAATCTAGCACTGTCACAGACCTTTCCCCAACTCTGACAAAATTATAAACTATAGCTATCTTGGATACAACAATTAGCTATAAGAGTAGCCTTGTCAGAAACATTAGGCATGTAATGTTAGAAAGTTATTAGCATTCCATTTAAGATAAGTCTAGAAAGTCAAATTACCAAATGAGGACTTGAGCGGTATCACATTAGCAAACTTAATTCCTAAAAGTCAAACTAAAAATACTTCGTTCTAAGTCTGTAATTACAGTAATTAGGTCAAAGGACCTGAGAATTACTATATATGCCCAATCATTACATTTACCTTTGGAGACAGCTAGCCCAGGAGTTCTCCAACTGCAGTAGTCTAATTCTGGTTAGGAAACCACCCATCATTTTGTTTTCCCTCTTACTATTCAGCTGGATTACATTCATTGACAAGCTTGAGAGAGTCCAAAGAAGAGCCACCCATATGATCAGAGCCTTACATGGCAAGCCATACAAGGAAAGGCTGAGGGACCTGGGAGTCTTCAGCCTGAGGAAAAGAAGGCTGATAGGGGACCTGGTAGCAGTTTACCGCTACACTAGGGGAGTACATCAAGGGTTTGGTGAGCAACTGTTCACCAGGGCACCAGAGGGGAAATCTAGAAGTAATGGGCACAAACTCCTGGAAGACCAAATCAAGCTCAACATTAGGAAAAACATCTTCACAGTCAGGATGTCCAGATTGTGGAATAAGCTCCCTCCAGAGATGGTGCAATCACCTACCCTGGAAGCCTTCAAGAGGAAACTAGACAGTCACTTTGCTGGGGTCACCTGACCCCAGTTGTCTTTCCTGCTTGGTGCAGGGGGCTGGACCCAATGACCTTCCAAGGTCCCTTCTGGCATTACAATCTATGAATTAAAGGTCACCTTACATGAATGTGACTTGTTCTCGCTCCTTGAAAAGAGGGAGCACTTGTTTTCAGGGCATATGTAAATTATCTTTTTGGCATCTGATTATCAAAATGCTATACAACAAATTATATGGGGGTATTCCAGCATATTTGCAGGTACTACCAATCTGATCAATGACACTATTCCAGTTTTCTTCCCTTTTCATGAACGACTATTGTCTTCCATGTCCCAAATCTCAAATCTTTCCCTCAACTTTTACTTGCAATATGTTATTAGCTTCACCAGTCTTTTAACATTTTTCCCCCAGCCCCCATTCCACACAATATTTGCACACTTTTATTTCTCCTCTCCTTTTTATACCTCCCAGTTGGCTTACCTGGAGATCTTCAAGTACCCCTTCTATTTTTTCCCTTTTTTACCCAGCAATCTCTATAGAGCTCCACAACTGACTCTAATTATGAAAGACAATTTAAGGAGAGAGGATACTGAAAGGGGAGTCATGGCTGTTCAGTAAAAGGGTCTGATGTATGGAGTTATGCTTGCTGTCCCTAGGTTGCACACCAGAATGCAGGGTGTTTAGTTTTGCTATGATTTTGGCCTTTGCTGGTTGCCACACAGGGCCCAGAAGATTTTTCCCGCCTTATCTGACCATAAGTGTCAGGATTTTTTGGTTTTCCTCAAAAGCACTGGTTGTTGGCTACAGGCAAAGCTGGGTTTTTTGACAATGCTGTTCCTTGGACTAAAACCAGGAAAGGTTCCCAGTTAGAAAGGCTTGCCACTCTGCTGAGGGTCCAGGACCATAAAGGAATTTTACCCTATTACACTTCATGGCCAGATTCTCATGAACCATGCATGTGTGCATGTGCTGTCCTCATCTTCCTTGGATCTCTCTAGTGCATTTTAACAACCCTGCAGCAGCAGCACATTGACTGCCAGTGTTCCCCTGCTTTAACCTGTGGCACATTAGGGTACTTTTGGTGTCTTTGGGCAACATGCCTTGTAGATGTGTGACAGGGTTGAATGCACAGTTTTAGGATTAAGTTAAGCAAGTGCTTGTGGGATGGTTTGGATAGGGATAATGCTGTCAAATAGGGGGGGCGAACTAAATGACCTCTGGAGGTCTCTTCCACTCCTACTTGTTTTAGGATTCTATGATCTCCATGATCATAGAATAGGACCTACATTGTGATGACCATCTCTGATTACTGGATTGACAGCTAAGGTTTCTGCAGGTTGTACATGCTACTTCTGAAACCCTCCCCCACACCTTTCCTGCTCTAGGTTCCATGCAAGTCATTTCAGTTTCCATTCCCAAATATGAAAAACTCTGAAAAATTAACCATTAGCAGAGGCAACTGCAGGTGACACAGTGTGGGATAGGTATGTGGAATAGCCCAAAATACACTATATAAGGATTAGGCAAAATCTAAAGATTCACACTAAGATAACTGATAGCAAAAATCTGCTGTATAGACAAAGGTAAAAAAACCCACCAAACAAAACAAAAACTTTGTAACATGTTAAATAAGAATCTCCTAAACTGTGGTGTTTGATATCTTGGAACAGCAGAACCATGGCTAATAAAGTTGGGGTGGGGGTTTAAAGAAGAGTTGGAGACAAATGGTAAAATTTTTCTGAAAGCGAGGTCACCTTTCACAAATTTGCATATTCCAACATTTCTACTGGTGTCCAGATTTGTGAGTTTTAGGTGCCATTACTCAGGCACACAAGTAGCTGTAAAACTGACCAGAATCAGACCTGTAGCAGTTTCGTTGCTACTTCAGAAAACTATAACTGTGAGTAGTGGAGGTAAGAACTAGAAATATGCACTGGGGAGGGGAAGGATAAACCATAAAAGCAGCAGAGGGAAGAATCTCTTAAGTTGTTGCAATAGCCAAGATGCATGAGATCAAAGATTTCTCCGTGCATAAGTGTGCGCATATATCTGCTCAGTTATTGCAGCCCTATGTGGCTGACTCCAGATGCCTGAGATGCTCCAGAATGCATCATTCAGAGATGAACAGATTATAGGAAACCTTGATTACTTCTCTCTGAAAACTACATACGAGAAGCAGCAATTTTAATTGTACTACTAGAATTCCTGTTATCCAAATAACACCAAATAATAAATTCTTGAAAACTGAAGAGATTTAAAACAGGTCAAACCAATGATATTTTAAAGGGTGAGATTAAAAAAGTCATCACCAATACTTGTTATTTAAGACATTTGTAGAATAAAAGAAAAATGGGGCTGGCAGAGACCTCAGGAGATTATCTAGCTTAACTCCTGCTTAAAACAGGATCATCTATATCTAAACCATTCTAGGCAAGTGCCTAACTTGGAAAAAACTTTCCATGATGGAGACTCCACAACTTCTCTGGGTAATCTATTTCAGTGTTCAGCTACCCCAATCACTAGAAAAGTTCATCCTAATATCCAGTCTAAGTTTCCTTTACTATAATTTAAGATTGTTGCTTCTCATCCTATCTGCTACAACCAGAGAAGAGTTTATCAGCACCTTCTTTATAACTGCCCTTCACATATTTCAAAACAGTAAATCCTCTCTCAGTCATGTACTCTCCTGCCTTTCCTTATAGGTCATATTTCCCAGCCTTCTAATAATGCTTGCTGCTCTTCTTTGGGCTCTTCCCAAATTGTTCACACCTTTCTTGAAGTGTGGTACCCAAAACTGGACACTACTGCAATTGGGGCCTTCTCAGTGCTGAACAGAGTAGAATAATAGTGTCTCTTGGCTTGTAGATGACAACGCAATTTAGCATGCTATTTGTTTTTTTTGCAACAATGGCACACTGTTGATTCATACTCAGCTTGTGATCCACTGCACATACCAGTTCTTTTTCGGCAGTACTACAGCCTAGTCAGTCATTCCCCAATTTACACTTGTGTATCTCATTGTTCCTTTCCAAGCACAGGACTCTGCACTTATCCTTACCGAATTTTGATACACTGGAAAAAGGTCCAAAAATATTCCAAACCATCAGAAATACTAAACCTATCCTCCCAAGTATCTGCAGCTCCATCTACCCTGGTGTCAGCTGCAAGTATGCCACATGTGTGCTAAATCTGAGTTTCTGAGTTCTTTATAAAGATACTGAACAGTTATCACACCAAGGACAGACACCTGGGAAGCCCTCATGATACCTCCTCCCATTTAGACATTGAGCCATTGATAACTACTCTGACTCTCAAGATCCAACCATGTATCCACCTTACAGCAGTTTCAACCAGCATATTAAAATATATTTATATATGTGATAATACATTTGCTGTCCAAATTTAATCTTCAGCTGAATTATTCAAGATGCTATTTCAAGAAAACAATTTTGTATTACTCAAATGAGAAAGGAAATCCCAGGAAATTGCTAAAATATTGTAAACAATGGAATGTTCTTAGAAAAAGAAATGCTCAACTAGGAGTTTCCCTCAGTTTAAAGAGAAGGCAGCAAATATATTTACCATTATCTTTGCTACTGTTCTCTTCAATTGTCATTTGTTCAGCCAGCTCAGACAGAGATTCATCAATGGTCTGGCTTCCACGCAGCGTTAGGGAAAGTCTCCTCTTAAACTTTTTCATTCTATCGATGAGAAGTCTGGCTTAAGCAAGCCTGTAGAGAAAAAAAAAAAGAAGAGGATTTTTTCATTATTAAAAGAAAAAGGAAAAAGAAGAAAAATGCATAGGAATTAATTCCTGTGCATACTGTTATAATCTAACACACAAACAAATTTAGTTACAAAAAATGCAAGAAAATGTGGATAGTTTAGCTTGCAGGTAAGTGATACTCTGGCCTTTTCTTTTCTTTCTTTCTTTCTTTTTTTTGTTTTAAAGTATTTTTACTGGAGTTCAATCAACACAAAGGAAACCTAAAATAAAGGAAATTATATTTTAGGGTTTTTAAAACTCTAAAAAGTAATTTTAGTATTTTATCAACTCCTACAACACAGTTCATATAAAAATGTTTAAAAAATCTTTAAGTTATGTGAAGAAATCTACATTGTACTAATAATTTCATCAGAAAATGATCACTAGAAATTCTTGGCCAGTTCAGGTCTCCTTTATTTTTATTTTTTTTAATCTCTGTATTATCATTATTTGGGGAGACATTTCTACTAATATTGAATTTTAGTGGAACTTTTCTTTTTTTTCTTAAATTATGGGCTGATTCTAAGTTGGCTTCATTGACTCTGTATTAACAGATCATGATTTAAGTTTAGAGCCAAAAATTTACTCTAAAATGTGAAACAAAGATGACAATACTTGGTTCAAACACATTACAAGACGCAACTTAAATGTGGCTTGACATTTTTAAACAGAAGTTTTCATAAGACAAAAAGTTACACTTCACAATCTATTCAATTCTGAAGAAAATACCTTGTTTTTTTTAAGAAAAGGATGCCAATTTAAACCTATTTCCATCTGAAATTTAATTTTGTTGAATGAATTAAATAGCAGTAATTTAACAAGGAAATTCACAAAATGATTTTTTGTTCTTCTTCTGGCATGTTATTTAATGTATTTGGCAGAGTCAACATCACCGATTCCCTGGAGATCAGTTTTGAACATCGTATCTTAAGCACTAGCATGCATAAAGCAGATGGAACAATGGAACAGTCCCCATTGCTCCCTAGGTGGAGAGCATGATTCTCCGGCAACTTTTTAGCGGTCTGGTCAGGGGATTATGCTGAAAAAGGAAGTATTTTGTAGTACTGCACATTTCTCATACTCTCACAGCACAACTTGAGTGAAGCTGCTTTTTTTGGTATTTGAGCCAATCCCAGCACTGGGATCTAGGCAGAATAAGTGGAAGACCCTTTCAATTCCAAACCCTCTGCACTGCCCCATGGCACCTAAATTGACACTAAATGCTCATCTGCAGTTTAAAAAATAACTGCTTCATTGCTCCATCTGCTCCCAGGGGTGCCCGTCTGAGCTATGTCAGGAGTCCTAGAACAACAGTGGGCTATCTACCAGCTCACTGCCCAGCCTGGGAGGGCTGTGAGAAGAGCTACAACTGGTTTGGTCACAGAGCAGCAGCAGGCACCGTCAGTCGGCTCGTCACAGCAGGCTCTTATGGAACCCCCCAGCTCTCTCCCCCCCATTGGAGGGGAGAGGGAGAGACAGGAGCACTGTCCAAGGCCCCCTCACCCTATAGCACTACATGTAATTGTATAGATGTTACATGTGGTGCCACAAAACGTAAGTGTTTTGAACAGGAACATTTCCCTAGTACTGGCACCATTTTTGTAGCACTAACAGGGGTGTAAATGTCTGTTCCTTCAACATTTGTATAGCTACAAAACAAAACAAAGCCATCTGCAGCGCTGTAAATGTTACATCAGTCCAGGATCTAACAGGTGTCCCATCCCCTGCCCCACCATCAGGCACAGAAGAGAAGACAGTAAAAGAAAGCACAATGGCAGGGCTTGGGTAGAAGACAGAAGGCAATCCAGAGTGAAAGGTATGGGAAGATACACGCAACACAAACACATACTCTCCCAAAACTCAGGGAAAACTTGGAACAGCATGACAGGAGATGGCAACCCTCTGCAATCATTCATTGTTGGTACCAGCAAACAGAACCATTCCCATCTGCAAGAACAAACAGCAGCAAAAAAACAGAAGCCAGGAAGGAAGGAAGGAAAGGCTGGAGGTACTTTCCCCAATCCTGTGGAGCAGTGTTTTCCATAGGTGCTGGGACTAGCAGAAAAGTGCCGTGATCCCCCAAGAGAAGCTTGAGTACTAAGTGCTAGAGAAACCTCTCACTCTCCAAGCCCTTTTGCATAGTAAGTAGGACAAACTACAGAGAGTTTTTACTTCACCATTTTCACAAAAGCAGAAAAGACAAGGAACTGAAAAAGGAACAAGCACTAAAGTAATCCCCAAACACTCCTGCTGTAAAACTGGATGGCATGGTAGGCATGTCTGGAAGCAGGGACTGGGATACTGCTTATAGTGGATTTTTCTCTTCTTCAGTTAGACAGATTAATTTGTGGACAGGAACAAGAAGAAATTTGTGAACAGAAAGAGGCAGCAAGAGAAAAGGCACAGCTTAGCCAGCACTACTTATAGACATACAGACATAGCAGGCCTTTACTCCACTATTTTGTATGTACACACGTCTGCTGGTCTTTCATACAGTAGCAGGGTAGCATACACAAAAGAGAAGAATTATGCAAAAATGTGAAACACCTCAGTTCTTTTCCCTCAAGCAGAGAATGCAAAAAGTAAACCAATTTTTAAAAACGTATTCACTTTACTGATTTACTGAAGTTCACAACTTTTGCAATTATGATTTTTAGACTAATGATATCCCTTTAAAATTCCTTTTAAAGTGTTCAGCTGACTCACTCTTTGTCCTGCCTATTGAGAACATTCTAAACAAAAGGGGAAAATCAGATGGAAGTGGGTGGTAGTGGTGGGAGAACACGCTCATGAAAGGAGTCATGCATATGTTCTCAACAAACAGAGAGTCTAGATAGCACACTCTGTTAAAGTATGTTTAAAGATTGATTAAGTGAGGACCTCTGGGACTTGAGCCCAGAAGTCTGAGAGGGTGAAATACAGCAGTGAGACATTTGCAAATAAAGAGCCTGTTAAAGGGAAATAGGAAACAGGAGTCCAGCAGTAAGTGGGGAAAAAGGATGCCAAGATCAGTATTAAGACACAGTTCCACCAGAATTTACAGGAACACAGTTTTTCTTACCTCTGTCTAAACTTATATGCATTTAAAATCACACCACCATTTGCTATTTCTACTCAGGACAACCCAGAATTACGGTATGGACAGACATGCATTTGAAGTGCTCCAAATCCCAAAGCACTTCAAATTGAGCACATTTTACATATGCACTACACCCCACTACCATGAGCACTTCAAAATGGCCATAAATCCACGCAATAGTATGGGCTCTCCAGTCATGGATTTGGAAAGCAGGAATTGCTGAATGCCTCTCACCCTCTGGAGGTCCTCAAGTCCTGCGCACTCACTGTTGTCTGCCTGTTCTGCACCTCTAGCCCATGGGGATATCTTCAAAAAAAAAAAAAAAGCTCTTCAGTGTCCCCCCACCCCCGGATACTAATTTTTGAAGTTCTTTGGCCATCTTTATATACTTCTTCAGCTGTGAATATTGCCACCCTCACTGTTTACAGTGCTTCAAAGCTACTTGGAGCACTTCAAACAGATACGGAAAAGTGGACAAAATGTTGCTGTATCAGCTGTTAGTCCTTGTTATTTGAGAGCAGAATTCTCATTTTGAGAAAGTGAATTGGAAAAAAGATGAGAACAGAGAATGTTTCACTGAAAGCATTTATATTTAATATTTACAACTCATTCCACTAAAAAGCCCTGGTCATTCCATTAAAAAAAAAAAAAAAGGCCTGGAAATACACATTTCTGTGTTTAATTTTTTGCTCTCCAAAACAATAGCCTAAATTCCCCTTCCGTTTTTTTTCTCTTAAAATAACCAAACAACCCCCCACCCAACAACTAGATGTCTGTGTCTTTAGTCCACTCTAACCAAACTAGAGCTCTTCAGCCATATTCAGACAGTTTAAGTGAAACTACTGAAGGAAGAGAAGTAGTTCACTAAACACATTTTCATCTTTTGTTTATTATTTTCTATTTTTATTTTCTTCCATTCTTGTTTATTATTTATTTAAAGTAACATAAAGGAAAATTATGAGCTGAAGCACTGTGTAGTGATCACTAACACCAGTGCAAGTTTCATTTCAAAAGCTGTGTCCCCTCTGGGTCTCAGCCACGTCAGGATTTTGGTTTGCAGCTAGGAGATTTAGAAAGTTTGGTCACTTCTCTTCCAACAGGTTGCCTGAAGTCTGTATTTCCCAAAATGTGCTCTTGTCAACATAACAGAAAGCTTGTAAATGGATCTAAAGAAATCCTACGTGGGTAATATTTTAAGATAAGCAAGGCATGTCTACACGTGTTATTAGCGTGCAATGATAAAGTATGGCACAAATCGCACTGGAGTTTATTGCTCCCAAGCACGTTGTTGAATACGTGCCTGAGACTGCAGCATGTTGAGCTGGGTCAGAGCAGCTCCAGCTGGCAAGGGACCAAGGAAGTCAGTCTGGCTCAATGTGGTGCAGAGGGACTGGCTGGGGCACCAAGGTGCTCTAACGCGGGGCTGCCAGGCACACCCACATTCAAAAACCCTTGTGCCCCAGGCCAGCCCTGTCAGCATCCACACGTGTTGTGCACTAAAAAACTGCAGCAGGATAGTACTTGTATTTACAAATACTAACCTGCAGTGGAGTTTATTATTTTACTGCAGCCTAATAGGGCTGCATGTATAAATGCAGAAACTTTACTGTGGAGCTGACTAATTAGTTCCGCAGTAAACATCTTGTGTAGACATGCCTGCTGGCAGCCAGAAAGGTCTTCCACTTAAGCAAACAACAGAGTAAAGATATCTTCTTACAGGAATGTCTCAGGCTAAATTGTGCCTTAATCCTTCAGCTAAACAGCACATATACACCTATATCCAACTGATAAAGTCCTACACTAAACAATTTGCTTGAACAGGCAAGATGGTCCAATTAATCTTCCCAGTTTTCAGAAGCTTGTAAGAAACATTCTCATTATCAACT